CAAATTTCTCTAACTAAATGCTCGGAACTCCAAAACACTCGATAAATGTCCCGCATCACATCGTGCCTGAATTATCTACACGTCCCAACTCGATTCTTGGTAAACCGAAGTCACACGCGTCCTTGCGGGACCCACGTAAACGACTTTTTCATTTATTTTTATTAATATGCACCCTCAAACTCGAGCTTCTCTAAATAAATGATCGGAACTCGAAATAGTAAATCAACGCGATAAACGACTTCTTCTCTTCTCGTGCTTTCTCGAAAGCACTTTTCGTTAATGCTCGACTCACTTATCGAAGCCGACGGAACACCGCAAGGTCGCCTCATTAAATAAGCTAATATATATAGCAATCTACTCCCACGGGAATTCAAATTTCTCTAACTAAATGCTCGGAACTCCAAAACACTCGATAAATGTCCCGCATGACATCGTGCTTGAATTATCTACACGTCCCAACTCGATTCTTGGTAAACCGAAGTCACACGCGTCCTTGCGGGACCCACGTAAACGGTTTTTTCATTTATTTTTATTAATATGCACCCTCGAACTCGAGCTTTTCTAAATAAATGATCGGAACTCGAAATAGTAAATCAACGCGACAAACGACTTCTTCTCTTCTCGTGCTTTCTCGAAAGCACTTTTCGTTAATGCTCGACTCACTTATCGAAGCCGACGGAACACCGCAAGGTCGCCTCATTAAATAAGCTAATATATATAGCAATCTACTCCCACAGGAATTCAAATTTCTCTAATTAAATTCTCGGAACTCCAAAACACTCGATAAATGTCCCGCATAACATCGTGCCTGAATTATCTACACGTCCCAACTCGATTCTTGGTAAACCGAAGTCACACGCGTCCTTGCGGGACCCACGTAAACGACTTTTTCATTTATTTTTATTAATATGCACCCTCAAACTCGAGCTTCTCTAAATAAATGATCGGAACCTCGAAATAGTAAATCAACGCGACAAGCGACTTCTTCTCTTCTCGTGCTTTCTCGAAAGCACTTTTCGTTAATGCTCGACTCACTTATCGAAGCCGACGGAACACCGCAAGGTCGCCTCATTATATAAGTTAATATATTGCAAAAAATAAAGAAAATTAAATATAAATAATAAATTTCATTTGTAAAACGTATTTTCATAATACGTTTTAAAATTAATTCATTGTCAAACGTATTACGGAAATACGTTTTACAATTAAATCTAAATTATTCATTACATTTAATTGTAAAACGTATTTTGAAAATACGTTTTAGAATTAAATATAATAAATAAAATTAATTTTATTTATAAAACGTATTTTCATAATACGTTTTAAAATAAAAACGTATTCCGAGAATACGTTTTACAATGTAAAACGTATTCCCAGAATACGCCTGTTTGATTTTGGTCCACTCATTTTTTTTTTTGTTTTAATTTTGTCCAGTTATTTTTTTTATTTTTGATTTAAATAAATAATTCGTGTTAATTCACTTTAACAAATAAATAAAATTTAATTCTAAAAATTAATTAATACAAGCTCATTGATTGATGAGTAGGTCCGTACACATGTCACCCATGAAAATTGTGTAGAGGATAATCTATAATGACGGCTCAAACACGAACTCGAGCCGAGCTCGAGCCCATATTTTACATTTGTAGTTACTAAAATACCTCTTGTATATTAAATAATATAACACAAGTGTTTAATGATAATTTCACTTAAAATTTTTCGAGTCGAGCTCGAGCATTTGATATTGAGTCGAGCTCGAGCTATTGTATATTCTTATCGAGTCGAGCTTTAGCCTCATAAATCGAGTTCGACGAGCTCGAGCTCGAGCTCAAACAGCTAAAAAAAATCAATCATGCTCGATGAGGTCAGCGATCGACTCGACTCGGCTCGGCTCGTTTGCAGTCCTAGACACAAGTAATGAGGAATTTACTATTTTAGGCTATATTTGGTAGACAAATAAGCTAGTTTATAGCTTATTTGGTTAGCTTATAAGCTCTCTGTATTCAAATAAATCTCGTTTGGTAGGACGAACTTTTTTAAAAAGCTCGACCTTATTTGATAAGCTTCCTTAGGTAACTTTTCAAATAAGCTAGTTGATTTGTTTTATTCCAGCTAGCTTATCAGCTAGTTTTACCAAACACTTTTATCATATAAGCTAGTTTATCAGCTATAAGTCATAAGCTATAAGCTAAAAAATTACTGATAAACTATAAGCTTGTTTATCAGCTATCGGCTACCTATCAGCTAGCTTACCAGCTAGTTTTATCAGCTATAAGCTAGCTTAGATAATATCAGTTATCATGGTACTAGCTTCAATTTAGCCTTAATTGTCATGTTGATATGAACTATTGCACATTGGCATCATGGTCGGCTCCTTGGGGAGGCAAGCTAATACCTAGGGCCTCTCCATTTATTTGGGGCCTCAATCTTTTTTTCTTTTTTTAGTATAATGTATTTATATTGGCCTTGGCTTATATACACAAATAAATGGAAAAATAACTAAATATGGACTTGACTCATTACACAAATGAAATGGCTAATTACAAAATATGTACTTTGTGTTGGAATTTGAGGTCCTAAATATTTTATTTGTTTTATTATGATGTCAGGTCATAATAAGTTGAACGAGAATAAATATTCTTTGCAGTGATATGATTTTTATTTTATTTACCTTGCGTCCTCGTGATTGCTTGAATATAATTTACTCCTCGTGATTGCTTGAATATAATTTATTAAATATCTTTGTAACCCAAAGATAATTTATCAGTTCCAATGCTTGACATAATAATTGACAAAGTCTCCAATTGACTTTCATGTGTTGGCACATTGTGAAGGCAACCTCGGATGGTTATGGACTTATGTTTCTTCACAACTCTAAGCACCTCTCGACATGCTTCTTTGCGGGCTGCATTTTTTATATCCTCTGCACATTAAATTTTATAAATACAAATAGCAATGAAACAATCCTCCAACACTAATTTATGAAGGTTGGACTCCAACCTTCATAAATTAGTCATATCCCAATTTTGTAACCTTGAGCAAAATATATGATAAACACATGCAAGACAACAAAATGATATAATTAGATGATAAACATCCTGAAACTTGAAACGAGTCGAGTCGAACACCAAACTCCAACTAAACACATGGAACTGGCGTAGGCCACGGTGGATGTGTGAGAACAAAGGCCGCGAGACCCTCGTTGCCTATAGATTCTCGAATCTCCCCGAGCTTGCGACATTTGTCCTTGGAAACCGCACACTCGTAAACACTCTTTCCACACACGACGAAAATCGAGTCACAATGTTTCGGATGAAAAGCGGCACCAACCAATGCGTCCCTGTCGTAGTCATCCAAAAAACTCAACTCCCTTTGACCGACCAAGGCCCACGAACAATCCCGACGGTCCAACTCCCAAACCCCCACGACGAAGCATTTCCGGCCCGGCCCGGCCTTCAAAACGTGCAACAACCTCAACTCGTCCCTCACAACTCCAAGGTAAGTCCTCGAGTTTGGCACCTCACTTGTGCTGTTACGCACAATGTCCGGGAAGTAAATAACAGAACAATGATTGTTGCCCAAATCTAAAGAAACAACCCGGTCACGTTCATATAAACCGTCCATCCAGTACAGAGTCCCATTGCACACAACAATATTCAAGTCAATGCTATAGTCATTGATTGCACGCTTAGGTACCAAGATAGAAGATTTGGTCCATTGCCGTGACTCTGAGCAAAACACAAGCACTGGTAGTATGTAGTGGTCGACAGGATTTTCAAACGTATGAGGACAACTGGGATAGTCAAGTAATACCACCTTGTATGGCCCGTTAGAACCGGGAGGGAAAACTAATGCAAACCCAGCCCTTGCTTCATAAGAAGGATCGCTAGGAATGCGAAACCACTTTCTAGTCACCGGATTACAGATGTAATACCTCCGTGGATTGTTTCTTCCCACTCGATAACGGGAATCAGGGGACACAAGCAACAAATCGTTGCATGATGCCCTTACAACCATGAGCATCGGCCCCATAAAGTCGAGGTAGTTAGACGATGATAATCCATGCTTGCCGTGTAGAAGCAAAGACTCCTCCGATAAAAGAGTTGCAATCAATTGATAATACTGCGGGCAATCCCCATAAATGAAAAAATAATTCATTCGGAAAAGAATGGTATATGATTGATGTAGATCTCGATGGAGACGGATGAACCTGGGGATGAATTGGGGTCGAGAGATCAATGCATGCCAATGCCGACAAACAGAGCTCAATCGAATAGCATATCGACAGTTGGAGAGTCTAAGGAAGATCTCCAACAATATGTCTTCATTGATACTCGACAAAAATCCTAATGCTCCATCACGGGAAACTTCTTCAATTCTCCTCCTTGCCCTTTTGTTGCGGCTGCTGTCCTGATAAATATACTACAGATACATATATACACACCCACTCATGAATCATGATTAAAATACAAACACAATTTAAAAATAATTGAATCTTTGGGTTAATTTGCAGTTTCGTATCAGCTGGTTTTGGGGGGGGTTTTTGCTGCTATAAACACAGAGAGAATCAAACCTTACCTGTATCGTAGGATTGGGATCCAATTGAGGGGAGGACACCACAATAGCGGCGGCACAG